AAGATCAGAGACTCTGAATGCTCTTCTCACATTGAACATTGAAAGACTTTAAGTTAAAGTGAACACTCACAAAGAACTGTGAACACCAAAAACTGAATTTATTTTAATTTACATGCTTTTACTTACTTTATTAATCTTAGTTGATTATAAAGAGGGAGATGTAACATTTTATTTGTCTTAAGCGACCACCTCTTATTTTACAATGTTGTAAGCGACTTGAATAATACACGTGTGTTCCAGCATGGCGGCTTACAGAGTTAGCACGTTTATGTTACAGTAATGTTGGAATTTTTGGATGATAATTATTGTATTCTCCCTAGGGAGGGGACGTCATTTCACAGCTGAACAGGTCCATGAAGAATTGTCATCAGTGAGAATTGCTGAGTTCAGGGAAGTTGTCAAAGGTCATTTTGAAGTAGAAATGTCTGTGGCAAGACCAACAGAATGGGAAAAATCTGTTCTTCAGTTTCATTTTGATGTGTTTGTTCACAGGCTACCCACCTTGTACCCAGTGAGTGTACAAAGCCATTCAAGCCCTCAGCGGCGCCCCGCCTCTCACTCAGCAAGACAGAGATAGTAGAGCAGCTTTACCGAGACTTAGGATTGGAAAACAAGTAATTTTCTAAATTTTACAAAATAAAAAAGGGAAAAATTAAGTAACAAATGAGATCATTTTCCTCATTTTCTCTCTCTCTCTCTCTCTCTCTCTCTCTCTCTCTCTCTCTCTCTCTCTCATATAGTCCAACTGGGTTGAGTATTTTAATTGACAATGTACAGTGTGAACAGTTCAGAGTTTCAAACAGCTGTTCATATGTTACGTACTATTATTTATTATATCTTCATATTTTATGGTAAGGCAGATAAATTGCCCATAACATCTAGTCAGCCATTGTAGTCAGTGGGAAGTGTCTACAATACTTCCACATAAAAGGTCTTTGATATATCCTGGTGCAAGTACACTTCTCATTGAGCAGAAATTTGCCAAAGAAAGGTTTCCTTTGCTTTTCCTAGGAAATCCTAATACTTACTCGGTTTTCATTAATTGCGCCACTTGTCTTTTTTCAAAGAAACCTCTTGGCAGGAGGGTTTGGATTAGCAATTTAAAAATGTGACCATATTTCGTGGTTTAATTTGTCACGTGAATGTAAATTGATGACACTTTTTTTAAAGTTATTATTATTATATATTATTCATGTATTATTTATTTATTTATTTATTTATTTATTTATTTATTTATTTATTTATTTATAATAGCGGCCTGACAGTTGACAACTTGATGAAGTTTTGCGTGGCTGCTCTGCAGCACAATAATGGGGAGATACGCCATGTGGCCGAACGCATCATCATAGACTTGTACAAGACAGTTGGTGCTCCCGTCAAAGACTTCCTGCCACCAGATGATGATAAAACTAGGAAAAACACTCTCTACAGACAAATATTTGAGGCCTTTGATAAGATTGATGGGAAGCCTTCGAAAGAGGAACTGAAGGTGTGTTTTTTTTGTATTCTTAATAGTATGCTCTCTCTCTCTCTCTCTTGTTCTCTCTCTCTCATTGTTGGTGGGTTGGCTATGGGCAAATATAGTGCAGGCAAACCCAAAACTAACCCACATTAAACTTTTTTTACTTTGCTTCCTTGAAACCAATTTATGATGTTATGATGATAATAATGAGCTTTCAATCAGGTATTGAATTTTCACATGTTAAATACATAAATGCCTACTTGGGGATTGCTACTGTTGTTTGCTATGTAATTTTTTTTGTCACAGAGACAGAAAGCAGAGGAGGAAAAGAAGAAAGCAGCAGAAATTGAAGCTCTCCAGGCTCAGTTAGCAGCTTTAAAAGATCTCTCGAAAAGCAGTGGGGTGAGTGCCTTCCCAAGACTTTCTTCTGCTTGGTCAGCTGACTTCTTGCCAACTTAAATTACTTTTTAAATATTGGTGATGTAGATAATCCCTTAAAAGCAACCCACTTTATTAAGTTCAATTTGAAGGAAGCTACGTGGATGCATATATCCACTCTTTGCACTCAAACTGAAGTAAAAAATCTTCCAGAAGCCAAGTGCACAAGAAAGTTAATCCCCCCCCCCCCTCAGCTGCTGGAGGAGGCGTGTTAGTCTCTTACTCTGATTGCATTCAGTGAGAGTCCCCATGGAGTTAGTGTGCACTAGCTAGATCGACATAACTCATTTTGAATGGCCCCTTATTCGTACTTTAATCAGTCCACAAAAATCCATTAAATGACATCCTTCTTGTCAGCCTGTGATCCTTCTACCATGTTATAATATCATCATTGCACACCTACTTTTTAATAAAAATAAATACGGAGAATTTTACATATTTTGCAGCAGACACTGATGCCAGTGTTATGAATTAGTTAATGTATTTATTTATAGGATAATTGATTAAGTAATTAACATTACCGACAGTAGAAATTCTACCTAGTATGAAATATGAAAGTTCATCACTCGGTCTGCAAATATGCAATTAAGTTTTGGGTTACTGTGCGCAAGTGTGAAGGATTATCTTATTATTTTGAAATATAAGTGGGGACCAACGGAGCGTAGCGTCAAGGTTAAGCTGCACACTGTTAGTTTGCGTTCCCATACCTAGATTGATCTAACAGGATCGATCCATCTCCTAGGGGTTTCTTGCTAAATTGCTTTAAGCTGAAGCGGCTTAGATGTCTGGAATGCCTACTGAAGCTGCTAAACGATAATTAATATTACCCCTTAGCAGCTTCAATAGGCGTGACAGATATCTAAGTTGATTGCAATTTAGCAAGAATCTCCTCAGAGATAGATTGATCCAAAGTTAGTACAGTGGGGTCTGGGAATGGTCCCTGAGTAATGGATACAGTGGTAGTGTCCAGCGGAGGTCACAGCTGGCTAGTGGCCCTTCCTTACCCCCTTCTTCCCCATACACACCTTCCCACCCGACCCCCTCAAAAAGTTAATCATGTAAAAAAAAAAGGTGCAAAACCCAAGCAATTATGCCACCCCTTTGACCTGTGTATCATTTTTTTAAAGACTCGTGTCCTGTTTTATTTTTTCCTAGCTTCACTCAGTGATTTTTGGATTCTTGTTTTCTCCTCCCCTCACAAAATACTGGTTCTCCCAAGAAATTTACAGATAATTATTTACTTTTTTAATAACATTGATTAATTAATATAACCTCAACACACACACACACACACACACACACACACACACACACACACACACACACACACACACACACACACACATACTTATTATAATATTAATGATTAATTAAACTAAAGAAAAAAAAGTTATGAAAGACATAGGTAAGGTGTTTAAGATGTACAAACTCTGTTCAAAATGAACATGAAATTATCACAAGTATTGTCGTTGATGTCAACAGTTTAATTCTGAATTCTTACAAAAATGTATTGAACCTTATTTTTGGTTTTTAGAAGAACTGCCTAACGTCAAAGTTTTGATCCAGATTAACACTGTCTGATTCCAAAGATTATAATTTTAATCAACACTTGGGCAATAATAGTTTTTATGCCTTCTGAAATGACTATCATTTGGTTTTGTCATCATGGTAACCGACTGGAAGTTTTTCACATCAAGTGTCATATCTTAGTGATGCAGCCATACCAGTATGTTTTGAGAGGTTGTATCATATATTTATGCTACAGGATACCATTCTCCCTTTAAATTTAAGTTTTGCCAGTTCACTTCATGCTTTTTAGTTCATGTATTATTCACTTTTTAACAACATTGATTAACCTCAACACACACACACACACACACACACATTAATTAATTAATTAATTAAAATAAAGAAATGAAAAAGTAATGAAAGATACAAGTAAGATATTTGAGATATCCAATCTCTGTTCGAAAAATGAACATGAAATTATCACAAGTATTTTCATTGATGTCAACAGTTTAATTCTGAAATCTTACAAAAATATATTGAACCTTATTTTTGGTTTTTAGAAGAACTGCATAACGTCAAAGTTTTGATCCGGATTAACACTGTCTGATTCCAAAGATTATAACTGTAATCAACACTTGTGCTATAAAAGTTAAAAAAACCTTTTATAATGACTATCATTTGGTTTTGTCATCATGGTAACAGACTAGAGGCATTTTCACATCAAGCGTCATATCTTAGTGATGCAGCCATACCAGTATGTTTTGAGAGGTTGTATCATATATTTATGCTACGGGATACCATTCTCCCTTTAAATTTAAGTTTTGCCAGTTCACTTCATGCTTTTTAGTTCATGTATTGGCCTTCTTAAGCTGTTGGGGAAGGATGGGGGGGTCCAACCAGGTGACTGTCTTAGCTCAAAGCCAGGCTAAAAAGTTATCAGTCATTCTCTTCAAAATGTACAGGTACAGCTGCACTGCCAAAATGTAAAAGATGTCAAAACCTGTCAGTTTTCGTGATTAATTCACACTGTTTTCAGCTTCACTTCTGCCCTTCATCAGCATGGTGCCTTGAGAACTTTATTTAGTGGAAAGAAAAATATAATGTCAAATCCTTTAAAAACCTGTAACATTATTGTTATTGAAATAGGTGAAGACACTCTTGGGAAGCTTTGGAAAGTACTGTAAGCCTTTCTTGAGGCTAGACAATAGGTATTGTTGTGAAAATAGATTCTAGCATGCTTAACAGTTTTGATTTAAAGTTGCAAAGCTTTGCGTATAGGTAATTTCAGTGTAGTGCTACATGTGAGAACACAAGGTGTACGGTTTGTATAGTTACACAGGTTTTGTCATAATGATGCACCCACCATAATTTTTTTGCTCAAACTTTGACTTTTCTTGGCAGGACCTTCCTCCAAAAACGCCATCTATAATTGTGCAAGATGAGGTAGGCTCTCTGAATATGACCCAGTGTTGTTTTGACCTTTGATTCCTTGATTTCCATGCTGCCCTCTATATTAATTTGCCGTTGGTTTTAATTAGATGTTTTTATGTGCATTATTTATTAGTAGGATACTTGGTTAGCTCGTCGATCAGGCAAACAGTATATTTTCTAAACACATCTTGCCATTATATTATTTGCAGTTTTGATAATAAGATGACTAACTAAGAAAAAGGGTATCTTATAATTTATCTTCTCTAATGGAAATTTCCTATAGGATCCTATAGGATGTGTAAGAGGCCAATTAGAATGTGAAGAGCCGAGTGCTAGCTGGTCCACTGCCTAAATATGGCAGATCTACATGAAAGGAAGACCGCTTAATCCTGTAATGGTCTCTCCACCTCTTTCATGCCCCTCCACGCGTCGTCCCTACAGTGGCACAGTAATTAAATCTTGGCTCAATTCGAACGGTCGAGGGACGACCCATGGTGAGGCATTTGAGAGGCTAAGAGACCATTACAGGATTAAGCAGTCTTCCTTTCATGTAGGTCCACCATATTTAGGCCGTGGACCAGCTAGCACTCTGCTCTTTACATTCTGAATGGCCCCCCTTAAAGGAAGTTGGTCCAAAATCCTGTAGGACATTAGTCCTAGGTAGGAATCTTAAACTGAAAGGACATTGGACACAGTCCATTGTAGTCCTACAGAATTCCTATAGAGTCCTGTAGAATCCTTTAGAACTCCTATAGGAAATTTTTGTCTAAGGGCTTGTTATTTATTGCTGGCACTTTGGTTTTGTCTGTATATTTCAGTTGATTTCTGTTGGAATTTCTCTTTTGTTGTTTTCTGTATAAATGCTAATTAGGTTGTAGATATATATGCAGTGTTTTATGTGAAAATAAATTCATTACCTTTGTTTTTGTATCATGATCACAACAAATTGTTACAGATGCATATCTAAATATTTTTATTTGTGTCATTTTAATGTCATTATGTGCCGTAGCTTTGCAGCTAGTTTCTAATTCATACAATTTACAGTCCCAATAATCACATGCCATATGTGTCTAAACGTGCATCTGTACCAAAAAATCAGTTCAGTATGACTTGGTTCCCATACCTAGATCGATCTAAAAGGATCGATCTATCTCCCAGGGGGTTCTTGCTAAATTGCTTTATGGGAATGGTGTGATTCGGTATTACTTGACAAGGCAGATGTCATAGCAACTCGATAGAGAGTGCAGCCTTCCAGAGATTAATCAACACCAAGTTTGTGTTTTAATCAGGACTTCATAGTAGTGGCAAACTTCTCTATGCTTTGTAATTTTAAAATCGTGTACCGACTTTTGAAACGTGAACTGTTAACATGTGTTATATATGCTTGGTGTAAGTGTTATGTATTATTTTCTTCGAATTCCCACTTGCTAATGCTCTCTACTGTCCATATGAACATATGCAACCCACCCAAATAGCTACATATATGCATGTACTGCATGTGCATACAGTTGAGCATTTACACGTATTAAAGATATATGGACATGTAGTGGTACATGCATGTCGTAGCAGGCATGCACCTGTGCATGCATGGACGTGCACACGTTTAATACTTTATTCACACCAGTCCTGCTTCACTCTCTGAGTGTCATAGCTCTTTTTTTCTCTGTTCCTCAAGGATCGAGTAAGTCTCATGCTACACCCTGTCTGGGTGATAAGTGAGGTAGGCAAAGCATGCCCGTGTGCTCGTGCGTGCATTTTTGTGTGTGCGCATGTGCTGATTGACATGAAGTGCAGGTGTCTATTAGTTCCTTTATTTTTATTTTGACCAGTCAGATAGCATCCTGAACTGTACCGAGAACAGATTAACAAAGTATTTTGTAAGCATTTATTTTGAACATTAAAATATCTTCTTTATTCATAGCTCCTATAATATAATATTATGTTATATCTGAAATGGTATGGAAGCTGCTTTTTGATTTATTCGGTTTGGGGGGGGAAATAGTTGAGTTTCTTTTGAATTTTTT